CATAGCATGATGACTGCATGCTGAATGTCATAGCATGAAGACTGCATGCTGAATGTCATCGCATGATTACTGCATGCTGAATGTCATAGCATGATGACTGCATGCTGAATGTCATAGCATGATGACTGCATGTTGAATGTCATAGCATGATGACTGCATGCTGAATGACATATCATGATGACTACATGCTGAACTTCATAACGTGATGACTCCATGTTGAATGTCATAGCATGATGACTGCATGCTGAATGTCATAGCATGATGACTGCATGCTGAATGTCATAGCATGATGACTAGATGCTGAATGTCATAGCATTTTGATTGCATGCTGAATGTCATAGCATGGTTGCATGCTGAATTCATAGCATGATGACTGCAAGCTGAATGTCATAGCATGATGACTGCATGGTGAATGTCATAGCATGATGATTGCATGCTGAATGTCATCGCATGATGACTGGATGCTGAAAGTCATAGCATCATGATTGCATGCTGAATGTCATAGCATGGCTGCATGCTGAATGTCATAGCATGATGACTGCATGCTGAATGTCATAGCATGATGACTGCATGGTGAATGTCATAGCATGATGACTGCATGCTGGAAGACGTAGCATGATGACTTAATGCTGAATGTTATAGCATGATGATTGCATGCTGAATGTCATAGCATGATGACTGCATGCTGAGTGTCATAGCATGATGATAGCATGCTTAATGTCATAGCATTATAACTGCATGTTGAATGTCATAGCATGATGACTGCATGTTGAATGTCATAGCATGATGAGTGCATGCTGAATGTCATAGCATGCTGATTGCATCTGAATGTCATAGCATGATAACTGCATGTTGCCTATCATAGCATGATGACTGCATGTTGTTGAATGTCATAGCATGATGACTGCATGCTGAATGTCATAACATGGATGACTGCATGATGAATGTCATAGCATGATTGTTATGAATGAACTTGCAGAGTACGCAGTAAATCGAATAACGAGAATGATTGAGTGCTGAATGACGATACAATGGAAGTGACGAGGCCTAAATAGGGGAAGTCCTAGCAAGGCGGGGAGGTTGGGCGAGGATGGCTCGGTGATGGATGCGATTGGGGCGGAGGCCGACTCGGGAGTGGTTCGGCCGATGAAATAGGCCGAACAGGTTCGTCGCGTGACCTTCGGGATGTACTCGCTAATAACTAACTACAGTAAGGAATTCTAATTCCTTACAATGATGATTGCATCTGAATGCCATAGCATGATAACTGCATGCTGAATGTCATAACATGATGACTGCAAGCTGAATGTAATAGCATGATGACTGCATGCTGAATGTCATACGTCTCATAGCTTTACATTTGCACACGGTCCCATTTGCACATTTGCATATGTCTCATGGGATCATAAATTGCATGTCAAATGGCAAAGAGGATTTTGTTGCATGATGATGTCTAATATTCTGAACGTCGCATAGCATGATGGCTTCCATGCTGAATATGCACTGGGAGGACAAAGTGCATGGCGGATGTCACAAAGAATGACAACTTATATGCCGCATGTCTCTTGGCATGGTAATTAGCATGCTGAATGGCCTATGCATAGTAACATGCATGCTAAATGCCTCGAAGCATGATGATTCACATACCGGACCTCTCATTGCACCATGGAACGCATGATAGAAGTTCCAAAGCTTTTTGCCAAAATTGTCCAACCTTACAAAGGTTGAGAGTTGGGCAGTCGGGGAGGTGAACAGAGTCGAGCCGGACGATGGTAGCGACAATCATTCTGCCTTCACCCAAGACAGGGGGGTATGGGAGGTGTGGTAAGCACGAGAGTGGGGGGTATGATACGAGTGGAGAGTAAGATGGGAGTGGGGGGTGTGAGAGGAGTGGTGTGTATGAGAGCAGTGGGGAGATGAGAGGATTGGAGTGGGGGGTACGAGAGGCATGGGGGTAAGAGAGGAGTGGAGGGTATGGGGGTGGTGGGGGTATGGAGAGGAGTGGGGGGTATGAGAGGAGGGGGATCAGAGAGGTGTGGGGGAGATGAGAGGAGTGGGAGTTGTGAGGATTGGAGGGTATGAGAGGAGGTGGGCGTGTGAGAGGAGTGGAGGGGGTCAGGGGTTGGGGATAGGAGAGTTGTGGGGAGGGTATAACAGGAGTGGGCGATTCGGGAGGAGAGTGGGGAGGAGTGTGGTAAATCTCTCACATTCAATCTCTTTTTATGCATACACCACTTGAGAACATTTGATTGTTGGTGAAAGGAAACCAATATCAGAGATCACATTACAAGTCCATAAGAAGTCCCTTGGCACCAGCACTCATGCAGCTCATCCAGACCATGCATTCTAGTATGCATCACGTTGAAATTATCACGCAGAAAAAATAGTGCTCTCAGAATGCATATTTAAGAATTTTTTGTCTAGAGTAAACATGTCAGATGACATTTGACCTTACATCTCTTTCGCATCACTTTCTCGAGTCTCGCACAAATCAACCTTCGGATTGAATATCTCCCCAAATGCAATTCTCAGAATGCATCTCTCATTTTGCAGAACTTAAGAGTTCATGACCATACGTACATGATCATGCATGCGTCATGATCCAGGCATAACTACCACATAATACATGCATGCCTATACGGATGCATAGAATGACGCTGCCATGGCTCGTAACTTGATTGCAACCGGGATGAAGTTGACACGCCAATTGGAACCACAAAACCCCTTCTGGTTCCCACTAAGCCTCTTCAGTGAGTATCTTGCACTTTCAGAAAGTGTACCTCCCTGCTGCATTCGCTACTGGTAACACCCTCCTTCCATTCCCCAAGCCCCCCTTCGCAATCTTGTCCCATCCAAATCTCCTTTCCTCCCCTTTCTTTTTTAAATACCTCAGCTGCCATGGGATACTGTCATACCCCGGATATACCCCCATGGGGGGCAATAATAAAACAAGTTTTTTTAGGGGGGTGGGCTTATAATCGAGTAAATGTATAAGCGCCGGCGTTTATAAAATGACATATATTTTTTATATTTTTTTAACACCAAACTGTAGATCTCGTGCTTGCCTTTTCAATCGAGTCGAAGTTACATGGGGTCGTCTGTGAAATTCTCGCGCGCGCTAGGAAATACACCCAATTTGACTCACATCCAGCTCCTGACAGCTCCTGCTGACTGGACCCGCATCCAGTGCAGGGTCCGAATGTGAAGGGAACCGAATCTGCAACACATCCGCCTCCTAAAGTAAAAATCGTTACAGCGTTTTGAACACATTTCAAATTTTAAAGTTTACGTGTGCTTATCATAAAACAAGTTTTTTCAGGGGGTGCGCTTATAATCGAGCAGCAGATATAAGCGCCATGCGCCAATTAAAAGCGCCAGGCGCTTATCCGAGGGTGGCGCTTATATCCGGGGTATGGCGGCAACTTGAAAGTCACGCGTTAATCATGCGGAGATTCACTCGACAAAGGTAGTGTGCTAGACTACGGGGGTTGGCACGAACTACTAGGAGTGATCGTAGCTTTGCTTGGTTCCTTAGTGCTTGCACATTCACGGGAGAGATTGGCAAGAGTTTCCACTAGCAAAGTTGGAATTCCAGAATTGATTGAACAGGCAATGACAGAATGACTACATCAGGCACCTAGCAACCCTGCAGCTAGCCTGGTCGACCACCAGCACAGCTCGGTCGACCGCCTGCCAGCGTTGCGTAGAGGAGCCGCGCCAGCACTGCAGAAGGGCGACCTGCCAACAGAGCAGGTCGACGGCGTGCCAACGCTGCAGCAGAGCGGCTGTCCAGCGTTGCCCCGTAGAACACAGCAGTGCGCACGCTCGCAGGTGCGCGCAAACGATTGGCCCGACTTGCTTCGTTGGGCATCCGTCGGCTGATGTCTGCGCCTGACGAGCCACATCGACTTCGGGATACCAGCCCGCAGTCGCCTGTGCCATCGCAACCTCGACGACGTTCGCGTGCCTCCGCAGAACTCGTCGAGCAGGTTACCCGGTCGACCCGGTCGACCACCAGGTACATCTGGTCGACCACAACTCCCGTCGAGCTACCCCCTGGTCGACGGGCCCCTTCCGACTGCTCCGTCGACCTCCCGGTCGAGCAGCAGGTCGACGGGATGCTCCGGAGGCCTCCCCGTCGAACAGCAGGTCGACGGGATGCTCCGGAGGCCTCCCCGTCGAGCAGTAGGTCGACGGGATGCTCCGAAGACCTCCCCGTCGAGCAGCAGGTCGACGGGATGCTCCGGAGACCTCCTTGTCGAACTGTAGGTCGACGGACTGCTTCGTCGACCTCCCGGACGGCCCACCCGTCGCCCAGGCCAGTCAGTTGCAGCTGTCGGGCTCCCTGGTCGACAGCAACACCACAGCGGTTCCCTGCAGCTCGACGAAGCCTATCGAATAGCTCTCCCACTGTGAATGGTCGGCTGCTACTCCCGTACATCCGACCAAGCCGTTGGCGTTGCCCAAGCAAGGGCGGGGCCAACACTCAATTCCTGTTAACAAATTAGTCATCCAGCAGTTGACGAAGTCAGCCTGTTAAGAGTCCATCCATTGATAAGACAAGAGTGAATTGAATGAACAAATGCATGATCAGGAGAATGGCTGGTGCCATGACAGTCAGTTGTCCTCCTGACATCATTTACAGCTTCTTGTCTAGTTGTATAGACGAACTTGACGTCCCGGTTTTGATACTTTAGTCACTCAAATTGGTCTGACTACGCACATTGCATCCAACCAAAATGAAAAAAAACTATATAAACAGGGGTACATGACAAGGCATAAAACGAAACACAGTGTATTTCTATTATCTGTACAGCCCACACATTTCCTTCATCTTCCCCAACTACACTGGTGCAGGCCCAGCTGCAAACACACGATCTTTAATAAGAACCAGCCAGCACAGAGACATTGCAAGTGAATGCGAGATGCTGCAGCGCCTTCAACCGGGTTCAGTGCGCTGAGAGAACCTTCGGTCCAGCTGTCAAAGACCAGCCTGGCTGTCAAGGCTTTATAGTAAACTGCACGAGATTAGCGGGAAGGGGTCTGATGGAGGTGTTTCGGAGAATCAGCTGGTGCAGCTGGGTGAGAAACTCCGGGAGGTGCTGCAAGGCTTTGCAGCAATTCAGGTGCAGCTTGCGCAGCCGAGTTAAGCGGCTCATGCCTTGAGGCAGCGAGACCAGCCGACGTGTGTTGATCGTCAATGAGGTCAGCGTGAGCAACTCCATTATGCTCCTTGGCAGCTCCTCCTGTGACCAAGAAAGCAGCTCCAAATGCCGCAGCTGCGGCAACGCAGCCCCCATCTTGTCCGGGAGGCTGCAGGGTCTAGGTGCATCTATCAGCAAGCTGCGCAGGCGAGGGAGAAAGGCCAGGGGGACTGGGAGCTCTTGAGTGTCGATTTGCCAACGAATTTCCAGCTGCTCCAGCTGCTGCAGACACGCGAACCTGCCGCTCACTTCAGGTCCGCATCGCACCCCGACGTCCTTCAGCTTCAGCACCCTCAGCTGCGACAGCTGGGAGATGTCCACGAAAGGCGAAGAGCCTTCCTTGAATGTACCCAAAGTGAGGGTCTCAAGAGAGGGGGGCAGAGCAGCAGGGAGCTCACTCAGCCGCAAACATGCAAACAGCTCCAGCCTCTTGAGCCCCGTGAGTCTATCCAGCCGCGAGGGTACTTCTGAGAGTCTCCAGCCGCAACTGACCTCCAAGGTGTGAAGCCCCGTAAGCTGTATGAGTGAGCTAGGGAGCCTGCTGTTCAAACACTCAATTAACTTCAGCTCCCGTAAGCTGGTCAACCCTTCCAAGGATTCCGGAAGCTCGATTTCACATTTACTCAGCTCAAGGCTCGTCAGGGAAGAAAGCCGGGTGAAGGACGGGGGAAGGGGGTGGAGCAGGCGGTTACATAACCTAAGTTCCTCCAGACCTGCAAGGGCTCCAATCTCCTTAGGCAACTCCCGGATTGGCAAGCAGAGCGCCTTGAGAGCTGTGAGGCGGCAGAACCCTGCTGGGAGCTGTCGAAAGTAACGACAATTATCCACAAAAAGTGCTTCGAGAGACATGAGATGAGTGAAGGAAGGAGGGAGTTCGGTGAGAGACAACCACTTTAGCTCCAGCAGTTTGAGGGCAGGCAGATGGCCCAAGTTGCTGGGTAAGGTGAATGTGTCAGAACCAGAAACGGCAAGGGCTTCCAAACGGCTCAGAGACGTGAAACTTTTAGGCAGTCGGTGAAGAGAAGAACAATTGCGAATCGTCAACTTGCGAAGGCACGGCAGCACGTCTCCAATGGGGTCTGGAAGGCTCATCAGCTCCCTGCAGTTGCTCATCAGCAACTCCTCTAGCCCACTGAACGGCGCAGCTAGTGGGAAGATGGTGTCGGGATCAGGACAAGAACTTGAAAGAATGAGCGATTTTAGGCAAGGAGGCAGCGTCGGGCTTGCAGCATCCGCCGGCTGATGGGTCTGGTGAGGGCCGAGGGTGAAGAGATGGGCGAGTCGTGGGAGATGAAGGAGGTTGGAGAGGTGCAGATGGTTCATGGGAAAGGTGACGTAAAGGGTGGTAAGAGCTGTCAAGTTTGTGAAACCGTGATTTTCCAATGCTGAAGCGTCGGTGAGGAGGGTGTGCAGACGCCTCAGCTGAAACAAGGAACCTGGTAGCCTTGTTTCTTGGTGGAGGCAGTAGAGGGTAACCTGCTCCAATTTGGAAAGCTCTTGAAAGAACCAATCCAGGCCGTTTGTAGTCAATGGATGCTCCTCCTTTCTTCGGTATTGCTCTAACGTGCCGCCAAGGTGGATGGGCATTCGCGGTGCATAGCTCCTCCCCACGTGGAGAGTCGTCAGTTCCGGACATGATGAAGCAAGGTGAGCAAGGAAGGCGTCGTCGATCGACTCAACACTTCTGTCGCTCAGATGAAGATGGGTAAGATTTGGAAAACCCGTGATGACGACTGAGAGATCTTCGCGGGTTACCAAGAGGTCTTCTTTGACGGTGAGCGTGGTCACACCAAGTTTCAAAAGACGACGCCAACGACGGAAAACGGACGCAATGAGGAAATTTCGAGCCACGCCTGCAGCGACCGAAGGTGGGGCCGATATCGGCGGGACCATCACAAAGTTACTACGCGTGACTTTACCAAAACCTGGCCAGACGTCAGTGGCCAAGCTGTCCCAGTGAGATTCGCGTGAAGCCGGTTGCTGAAAGGAGTGCGTAAGGATGGTAAGGAGGAGATCGTCAGGGAGACGATGGATCGGCGAAGACTCCATTGTCAAAAATCGAGATACTGCTATTAGTAGGGACGGCGGTAGATTGCTAGGAGCTCAGGTCTACGACACAAGAGAGCACTCAAGACCAGCTCTCAGTCGAGACGAGATCTGGAGCTATTTGTGAAAAAACCGTTCTTTCCAACCTAAAATGATTCCTCCTCGTGCGTGTTCCCTGGATGGCTGCTGCTTTCTGAATCCCTAGAAGCTGCAGCTTTATGAGGACTGCGCTCACTAGAGTTCCTTCCCGCAAGAGGCCTTCTGCCAACCTCGGCAATCATTCGCGCCAGTCAGCCCTTCATTGCGTGAGTCGTGTCGTGAAACTCACTCCTCTCCTCCCCCCGTCCCCTTCACGCGGACGTACTGGAAGGACCAGGAAGGAGTCGTGGCAAACCTGGCGAAGAGTGGATGGGTGTGACGATTTGCGGTGTTCGCCAGCACATGCAGACTTGAAAAAAAATTGACAGCGTCGGAATGGCCACGGCATCGGGAAGCGGGGCCGGAACCCTCCGAAGAGGTTTGGGCGAAATGCGACTCGCGAAATTTCGGGCCCCGAAATGGGAAACGTGACAACCGCATATGGAACCTGCCTTCCCACCTTCCCACCTTACCCTCTGACAGCCAGTGACATCACCATCCCACAGCAATCCACCACGAAATGGTGGATTGCCATGGTGCTGTTCGCCAGCACCAATGTATCCAAAAACGGGGGGATAACGACGGGATCAGGAAGGTGGGTCTCGCCTTCCTGATCCCGTCAGTCAGAGTTCGTTAACCTCTGTCATCTTGGTCAGCCCGTGAAAAATGTGCCGAGCCTCACCAACTGTCCAAACCAACAAACAAAGTGGGCGTCTGGCGAACGCCCACTTTTGTGCACCAATTCTAACGAATCGACGGCATCGGGAAGCGGGGACGAATCTTCGTCCCCAGGCAAAATGACATCCCCTAGCCATGCCCCCGTCATGCCGCGTTTTTCAAAGCGCAGCGGTGGCACAGCCCACGCATTGGCGGTGTTCGCCAGCAACTTTCAAAACTGCCGCATTTTGGCGGCATCGGCATGGTGGCCGCATCTAGAACCGGGGTCGAAACCCGCCAAAGAGGTCTGGGCGTAATGCGGTCCGCGAAGCTACAATTCCCAAAACAGGAAATTTCGCAACCGCATATGGAACCCCCAGCCCCAACTTCCTCATCTTGTGGCGCGAATTTTACGCGCCACTGACCGGTGCCAGACCGAGGGTAAAAAACGAACCAGGGTAACAATCGCAAAAAAACAAACCCATCTCAAATACAACCCACCTCCCCCCTCGTAGTCATGCGCGAGGGGCTTTTCGAAGGTGTGTTCTGGTGGGGAAAAATGGGGGGTATTCGAACCCTCATTTGTCAAACAACAGGCTTGTTCAGAGGTTCCCCCCTGTGCCATCGCTGTGCTTCGAAAAACGAGGCATGGCGATGGCATGGCCTGGGGATGGAACTTTGCCTGGGGACGAAGATGCGTCCCCGCTTCCATATGCCGTCGAGAATTTCGTTTTGTGGGAGAAATGGGGGCGTTCGCCAGACACCCCCTTTGATTGTTGGTTTGGACGGTTGGGGAGGCTCGGCACCTTTTTTACGGGCTGACCAGGCTGACGGAGGTAAACGAACACTAACGGACGGGATCAGGAAGGCGAGACCCACCTTCCTGATCCCGCCCTTATCCCATGTTTTTTTCACTTCATTGGTGCTGGCGAACACCGCCATTGCTGTTCAGAGGGGAACCCTTCAACAAGCCTGCTGTTTAACAAAGGGGGGTGGAAAGTGGGGGTGGACCTTCCCGATGCGGTTGCGAAATTTCTCATTTCGGGGGCGCGTAGTTTCTCGGGCGGCATTTCGCCCAAACCTAGAAGGAGGGTTCCGCCCCCGTTTCCATATGCGGTCGCGATGCTGATGCCATCGTTTCTTGTTGAAGAAACGATTTGCTGGCGAACAGCACCCATGGGATGGCATTGGACTCTCGTTTTGCCCATGGAGGAAATCACTTCCCCATTTCCGAATGCCATGATGATGTCCGAAATTTGAGAAAAGTGAGGTCGTTCGCCAGGCACCAAAGTTTCATTAGGGTCGGACGGAATGAGAGGCTCGGCAGCATTTTTACGGGCTGACCAGCCTGACGGAGCTAAACGAACCCTAACTGACGGGATCAGGAGGGCGAAACTGACCTTCCTGATCCCGTCATTTCGCCTTCCTGATCCTGTCGTTTTCCGTTGTTTTTGCTTTCAAAGGTGCTGGGGAACACCGCCTTGAGATTGAGAGTGCTTGCGAGAGTTTCCACAATGTGCTGCCTTTGGCAAAACCGAACCCTTGTTGGCAAATCGCGAATGATCTTTCATTCCCGCTAACCCCACCCCAAGAATTGCGTGTTCCAGCCTCAAAACGGAGCCTCGAGGCCAGCACTTGAGCCACAAACTCGCTCATCACAGACCCTGGTTTTGTTTGTTACCAGCCTCGAGTTGGAAATGCTGAAAGTCCGATCAGCTCGGCGCGCATTAGGTTTTTCAATGCTTTCCTTGCCCAGCTGTGGCACCTCATCTCAGTTTGCATCCTATTTTGCTTTTCGGCTCCGCCTAGCCCGTCGAATCTGTGCTATCGAAGCTTATGGAACTGCCAGTCCACACTGTGGAAAACAAATTTAGAATGGCATTCTTGCGGATTCCTTGTATCCTAGGCCCGATGCACAAGCCGACTGTTTTTCCCGTATTGGTCAAGGCTGTTCGTAACGCGCCAGTGACTGTGATAGTGCGACCCGTCTACCCTTCGAGCCGCGTACAAAGACTTCTTTTCCTCCCCGCCACGAATTTTTGATTCTGCTCGAATCTCCTGTTCCCCGTGTTAGCGTATCCGTCATATTCCCAGCTGATCACGAACGCGGATTGGTAAACTGGCGGCTGTACCTTTCCCAGCACATTGCGAACGGTATAGCGAACGGAGCTGTAGAGGCCTCACCGAATTCGGCCTTAATTTTCAATCGAAAAGCGAATTTGAGGGTTCAAAACCCGGCAGTAAGTTTAGGAAAACGACTGGAACTACGGAACCCTAGCTGCGGATCTTGCGACTAAAGAAACATGTTCCACTTGCAGTAGTTTTAGAAAAGCGATTTTGAGTGGTATGCTACTAGTGGCGGCCCGGCGATTGATGATGAAGCAACAGGTTCCGCGAATTCCGATCAGCCACGCGATGCTGGCGAGGCCAGCGAAGCTGTGGAAGCACAGCAGGAGGAGAATGTGGATGTTACAAGGACATAGATAAAGAGAAAGTAGAGGGAGAAGAACGGCGGAAGCAGGAAGTGCTGCGGCAGCGGCGAGGTGTCGGCTGGGGACCTCGCCAAGCGGCGTTGGCGGCGGCAGTGGCGGTGGCGAGCAGGGCGGGGAGGGAGAGAAAGTGGTGAAGGGGGGGTTGCTGATGGGGAGGGGAAGAGGGGGAGAAAGTGGTGAAGGGGGGGTTGCTGATGGGGAGGGGAGGAGGGGGAGAAAGTGGTGATGGGCTGGCGGAGGCCATGGCGGACGCGTTTAGCTCTTCCAGCGATGACGGGGTGCCGTTGACCAAGCTGGAGATTGCCATGGTGAGTTGCTGCAGGGTGGCGGCAGGTGGAAAGGTGGATTTGCCAAGGTTAGAGTCGGCGAGTAGTCTGTGACAGTGGCTGCAGAGGAGAATGGTTGTGAGAGAATGAGTGGAGGGAGCTGTTGGGCAGGCCAGGTGATTTGAGAATGTGAGATTCATTCCCCATTCCCCCTCAATTTCCTCCTCTCCCCTCCCAAACTCTGATTCCCTCTTCCCACCCAGCTCCCGATCGCATCCCCCTCCCATCCCATCCATCCGGCTTGGCATTTGTGTATTCCACATACACCGACATGTGACCCCTGACATCTACCCCTACCGCCCATGCACATTACATACACAGGCAGACCTCACACTCCCTTTTCCCCAACGCGTTACCCTCTTTCCCCCTTCGCCTCTTCATCCCCAGCATCTCACCTGCTTCTCCTACACCCCCCAATCACAGACTAACGCCCGCTGTCCTCCTTCCCACATCCTTCTCATCAACGCACTGTTCCCCGCCCGTCCTCCTCAGCTCCGCTCCGCACCTGCTTCTCCCGTACTCGCTTCCGGCCCACATGTTCGCGCGCGCCCTTACAGCACTCCCTCCCACATCCCTCTCATAAGCTACTGCCATTTTTCCTCTTTACCCTCCCCTCCCCCTCCCCCCCAGCTCTGCACCACACCTGCTATGTCTGGCCCATTGCGCGGACTCCCCCCTCCCCTCCATTGCGCGTACTCGCCACCACACCCACAGCGCAAGTCGCACTATTCACCACAGAACGATCCCCTTTTAACCCATACCCACTCCTCCCTCCCCACCCCCCCCCCCCCTCTCTCCCCTACCACACGTCCGGACGCCTCCGAGCACTGCACCTGCTTCTCTTACACACACCTACGGTACGGTACGGTGGCTGTGCACTGCTCCCACCCAACATCTGTCCCTTCTCTCCCCTTCCCACCTCCCCCAACCCGTCCCCCGCCTTACCACCTGCTTCTCCCGCTCCGGCTCCTGGCCCATGAAATCCCACCCCCTAAACCACGGGCGCACTGTTGGCGGAGAACCTGCGAACAGCTGAGCGCACTTCTCGCCAAGGCTGCACCTTCCTTCGCTTCACCACCCATTACCCTCCACCCTCCGGCCCTCCCCCCCTCCACCCCCTCCTCTTCCGTCCCCCCTCCACCTATCCCTCCACCAGCTCCGCCCCTCGCCAACACCAACCTTTGGCTCACCGACTTCGCACTCCTACAACACCGTCTCTCACATCCACTCATATGCCACTTTGCTGTCTACCCTTCCCCACTCTTCCCCCCCCCCCCCCCCCCCTCCCCCCCACACACACACACACCCAACCCCCCCCCTTTTACTCCCCTCCAGCTCCGCACCTGCTTCCCCTGCACCTGCTGATGCCCCACCGACTCCCACCCCTACAACTCGGGCGCACTGCTCACCCCCCAGAGGTTGCAGGCGAAGGTGAGCGAGGCTGCTGTGTGCGCCATGGCGGTTATCTTTCTCAAGGGCGAGTGGGGGGAGAAGCAGATGCGAGGTGCCAAGGAAATGGGCTGATTTCGGGTAACCGGCAGGCAGGTCACTGGTGCGGCTTCAGGCGCAGCTGGCTGGGACTGTTGAGTGCTCCGTGGCGGTTTTTTAGGGTTGACGTGCAGAAGGAGAAGGAGGTGCGTTTACAGTGAGTGAGGGGTAGAGGCTGGACCCATCTGGGCGAGGCTGGACCCATCTGGGCGAGGCTGGACCCATCTGGGCGAGGCTGGACCCATCTGGGCGAGGCTGGACCCATCTGGGCGAGGCTGGACCCATCTGGGCGAGGCTGGACCCATCTGGGCGAGGCTGGACCCTTCTGGGCGAGGCTGGACCCTTCTGGTCGAGGCTGGACTGCTCGGTGCCCCTTAAGGTTGGATGCGCAGAAGGAGGAGGTGCGTTGTGAGTCAGTGACGGGTGGTGGGCTGGGCTGTTTAGAACTTGTAAGCCATTGGTAGATCACGGGTGACGCGACGCTGACAGGGGCTTCTGGGTGTCCGATGGCAGTGTCAAACTTGAAGTAATACCCTGTCAAACTCGGGGGTTGTCAGTGTTGTGACCGTTGCAAGGCATGATATGTCACAAAAAACTAAGCAACCACATGTCTCTATTGCAGGTTTTTTTTCCTCCCTTGCTCTGTCTATTTGATTCGCAGTTTTTTGCCTGCCCAAATTACATTCGCCTCTAACACGCTGTCAACCAACATGACCCCACACAGCACCACTCACTGTCCGTACCATTATCACTATCCATCTCTCCACTACCCCCAACCCCTCCACCATAGTCCACGGCATCTGTGGCGTCAACACCACTCCTGCCTTGTACCCAGTCAGCCCATCAACCCGTGTGGCAGCGGCAAGTGCAGCAATCGTGGTGGGAAGGGCAAGTGCACGTGCACCTGGGTGGGTTCACCACTGCCAAGAACATTGACGGATCCGAGACATGCATTCTGGGGAAGTTTTGATTTGAATCGACTCGCAGTGGTAAGTTAGGTCACACAACCACAGTCCCCGCCTTTCTAGCAAGTGTGCGTGTGTGCACCTGGGTTCACCACTGCGAGGAACATCGAAAGATCCAAGACGTGCATTCCGGGTAAGTGGGAGAAAACGGTAAGTGAAATTGAATCACACAATCGACAATTCCCCCACTCAGCTCAGGTCCCCCCTTTCCAACACCATGCTGGTACACTTGTGCATTTAGGCAAATATGCCTGCATTCTCTTCCTCTTTCTGAGGGAAATGAAGCACTGAAGTTCCGTGGCTCTGTTCTTTGAGAATTCTCGATGAACGAATTCTTAAAGAACAGAATAGGCCAGCATTCAATTCCTCTCACCAAGGATAATCAAGCATTTAGTCTCTGAGGGAACTTCCTTGGCTATTCCACCTGGCTTCCCTCAGAGTCCCCCCTGTCCACCCCAACTTCTGTTTCCCCCCTTTACCTACTTTTCCCCCACCCACTCCTCCCCCCTGCCAGTCCACGTGTGCGCCATGTCAGCAGCCAACCCATACCAGGTTGACACATGTCTGGATGACGGAGCGGGCGGCTGCAACTGTCTGTGTCCGCCGGGCTTTGTGACGGGCAAACAACCAGATGAAACCCCTATTTGTGTGCCGGGTAGGTACTGCTCGCCTCGCCTTTTCACCTTTCAAGATTCTACCACGTAGAACAAGTGGTTCTGTGTAGCTGAATTATTCGTTCCGCTTAATGACAGGGCGGGAGGCTACAACTGTCTGTGCCCTCCGGGGTTTGTGGCGGACGAGAGACCTGATGAAACCTCTGTCTGCGTCCCAGGTAGGTATCGCACATGACACCCTGTGCGCCACTCCCTATACTGTCACCGCTGTAAGCCCACGAAACAGCCGTCTGTTTAGTGGGTATCCTTGATCTGCAGTCTGAAACTGCTGGTTAGGCATCCCTCATTCCATTCCCTTGCAAAAGTCCCAAATTGCTTTTCATGCCATCATGGCAGGTGCAACCGGCCTTATGAGAAACCATTGCTTGCCACAAATTCCCTGTTTGCCATTGTCTCTGCGCGTGCGACCAATGGTAGGATGACACGTGCGAAAGCATCGCTGCAGCGTTCAGCATGACTCGCTCGCAATTCCTCAAGCTGAATGACGATCACCTGCCGTGTGGACGGCTAAAGGCCGGGCAACAGGTGGGGATGGCAGGCTCAAGGCAGAAAATGGGTGCACAAGACATGATCAATATCACATCATGACTCGCTCACAATTCCTCGGGCTGAAATGAAGACCTGCCGTGTGGGAGGCTGCATGGGTGAGAGTACGGGTGATCAAGGCATGTGTGAGAGCATGGGTGATCAAGGCATGTGTGAGAGCATGGGTGATCAAGGCATGTGTGAGAGCATGGGTGATCAAGGCATGTGTGAGAGCATGGGTGATCAAGGCATGTGTGAGAGCAGGGGTGATCAAGGCATGTGTGAGAGCATGGGTGATCAAGGCATGTGTGAGAGCATGGGTGATCAAGGAATGTGTGAGAGCATGGGTGATCAAGGCATGTGTGAGAGCGGGGGTGATCAAGGCATGTGTGAGAGCATGGGTGATCAGGGAATGTGTGAGAGCATGGGTGATCAAGGCATGTGCGAGAGCATGGGTGATCAAGGAATGTGTGAGAGCATGGGTGATCAAGGCATGTGTGAGAGCATGGGTGATCAAGGAATGTGTGAGAGCATGGGTGATCAAGGCATGTGTGAGAGCATGGGTGATCAAGGCATGTGTGAGAGCATGGGTGATCAAGGAATGTGTGAGAGCATGGGTGATCAAGGCATGTGTGAGAGCATGGGTGATCAAGGCATGTGTGAGAGCATGGGTGATCAAGGCATGTGTGAGAGCATGGGTGATCAAGGCATGTGTGAGAGCATGGGTGATCAAGGCATGTGTGAGAGCATGGGTGATCTGCAATCAGTAATGAAGCCTACTACTTCCTCAGAGTCTTAATTGTTCTGCTTTCCTTGCAGGTTAGCGTGGCGCATGGCACACCGAACATGCCAGTGTGCCGGGTGTTTTGGGGAACTTTCAGAAACACCTGGCATTCCCAACAGCACACCCTGCATTCTCGAAAATAACCTTCATTTTCAACAGCACCCACTCTATCGTCATTGCATTCTGTTTCTTGTGCATGCAGGTGTGTGTTGCACATGGAACACCAGACATGCCAGCGTGCCATGAGTTTGTGACTGTAGCGGAGGGCGGCAGCTGTGACACAATAATGAGGGCTGCCCGCCCTCCTCTCAGTGCACAAGAGTTCTACACACTGAATCCATCCAGGGATCAACTGCTACGTGTGACAGCAGATGCTGCTGGGCCAGCAGGTAAGGATCTGCAGGTAATGAAACAACTTTTGAGGTGCCCCAAGAGTTTTACACGCTGAATCCAGGGACCAACTGCAACGTGGGACAGCAGATGCTGCTAGACGAACAGGTAAGAATTCCGGGCAGAGGGCGACAGTGTGAGCAGAGGGCGACAGTGTGAGCAGAGGGCGACAGTGTGAGCAGAGGGCGACAGTGTGAGCAGAGGGCGGCAGTGTGAGCAGAGGGCGACAGCTGCGGCACATGCAAAGAGCTCCCCACTCTCCCACTCCCCCCCCCCCCCCATTCACCCCAACTCTTCCTTTTCCACTCACCAGCTTCCCCCACCCCCCATTCACCCCAACTTTTTCGCCCCCATTCCACTTGCTCTGTGTGCAGGTGTGTGTACGCGGTGGGAAATCAAGTATGCTACTCGGAACTTCTCGATGCGTGACAAATCTGCAATACACGGTTGTGACGGGAGACACATGTGCGCTACATGGTTCAATACAATACGGGTTATGTGTGTACAAACAGCCGCTTGTACAAGGGCATGCGCCTGAGCAAGCCACCTTAGGTCGTTTACAGTGTATGTCGATACGTGTATTTAGCATACCATATAGCTCTTGCGGCTTAATGCTGTCTTAGTAGCAACTATACTCATCCCATACTGCTGTAATTGTTTACTCTATTATATCTTATATCACCAATATAATGATTTCAAGACTTTGTTAGGCCCGACGGCCTAAGTCCGCTAAAGAATTAGCGGGGTCGACTAAGTCGAGGATGAAACGCGGCGGAAGACTTTGGCGAAAGAACTATTGGCGAAATAGGCGAAGAAGTTACTGAGTAATTGAAGAAGAGTTGAATGAGAATTGATTGATAATGGCAAGTACAAGCAAGGTTTATATACCGTAGCATGCAAGAAACAAGGTTGGAAAGTGGAATGTGGGACCAAGAATTGGAGTGCAAGAAAAGTAGAGTGCCACGTGGCACTAGAGAATCTGAGAAGATAAGGATAATGGTGACTAGGAATGTACTGTTCGGAATGAACAGTAAACACCCCTCTAACACTACCCCCCGCCCAAGGAGGCGACGTCCGCGGCGCCTGCAGACTGAAGGTACGCTTGGAGGCAAGCGTTGTCAGGAGACAGCGAGGACGAAGGAACCCAGCTGTCGTCTGCTGCGTCGTAACCACGCCAACGAACCAAGAAGTCGATGAAAGTGACACCCCCCTGGAGACGGCGACGGTGCCTGAGGATGCGCTGGATCTGGTAGTCGGGCTCGTCGGTGTCAACAGCTACCGGCAGTGGAGTGCGATCACGGCCCGAGAAGGTGGCATTGGGATCGGTGTATGGGCGAAGGAGAGACACGTGGAATGACGGGTGCATGCGGAAATGTGCGGGAAGGCGAAGGCGGTATGCGACTGGACCTAGTGCGCGCTCAATGACGAATGGACCAATGAAACGTGGACGAAGCTTGCTGTCCTGTGGCAGTCGGAGGTTGCGGCTATCCAAGAGAACACGGTCGCCGACTGCGAACGACACCTCACGACGACTGCGGTTGGTGGTGTGTGCCATGCGTGCATTTGCGAGCTCAAGGTGCTTCCTCACGTGATCATGAATGAAGGTGAGATGCTGGTGGAAGTTGTCCGCACGAGGGACTGTGGGTGTGAGATCGACACGAGTGGGGACCTTGGGGTGCTGACCGTAAAGTGCAAAGAACGGTGACATGCCTGTGGCGGAGTGGTGCGTGTTGTTGTAGGCGAACTCTGCCATGCTCAGCTTTTTGTCCCATGCGGCTGCGTCGTGCATCGTGATGCTGCGAAGGATCTGCTCCAAGGTCTGGTTCACACGCTCGGTCTGTCCGTCTGTCTCTGGGTGGTACGCAGACGACATGGCTAAGCGAGTCCCAAACAGTGCGAAAAGCTGCTTCCAGAACTTCGAAGTGAAACGAGGGTCGCGGTCTGAGATGATGGAATCTGGAACCCCGTGCAGTCGGACTACGTTATCTACGAACAGCGTCGCGGCTTCCTCTGCTGTGACCTTGCCGTGCGTGGGGATGAAATGCGCTGCTCGAGAAAACTTATCCACTACTACGAAGATGGCGTCGTGACCCCTAACTGTGCGCGGTAAAGCCATGATGAAGTCCATGGTAACTACCTGCCAAGGGCGGTCGGGCGGTGGAATCGGCTGCAAGAGTCCTGCTTTGCGCTGGCGAGAGGACTTCGTACGCTGACACGTGTCGCACGAGCGAATGTAATCCTCTACGTCTGCTGCAAGCCCGGGCCAGTAGTACGTGCGACTAAGCGTCTTAGCCATCTTATCTGCTCCGAAGTGCCCTACACTAACTACGTCGTGCGCCTCTGAGAGAAGGAGCTGTCGAAGAGGGCGGTAGGCTGGAACCCAAATCCGTGTGGTACCCTTCCGTATGTAGACACTACCCTGCACCTCTGCTCCTGCGGGCGGCTGCGGTGTGAAGTCGGGATCTACTGTGTAACCGTGCTCGAAGAGTGCTGTGAGAAGTGGGTGGCCAGCAGTGACTGTGAGACTGGCGAGCTGACAACTAGGGCGAGTGAGCGGATCTGCTGGGTTGCGCACGCCTGGCTTGTACTCTATCCTGCAGTGAAAGCTCCCTTCCATGAACTCCATCCACCTAGCCTGGCGATGACTCAGCTGCGGCTGCGACTTGAGGAAACGAAGCGAACAGTGGTCCGTGCGTATAACACTATCTGCCCCCTCTAGGTAGCACCTCCACACCTTATACGCATGGATGATCGCGAGCGCCTCCTTGTCGTGTATGGGATAGTTCAACTCCGCTCCCCTAAGCTTACGCGACTCGTACGCGATCGGCTGCAACCCGCGTCCCTGGTCCTGAAGAAGCACTGCTCCTATGGCCTGATCGGAAGCGTCGGTCACTACAACGTATGGGCGAGTGGGATCAGGGTACGACAGTGTCGGTGAGGACGTGAGCGACTGCTTCATCTGCTCGAACGCCTGCTGCTGCGCTGGACCCCAAACGTACTCTACGCCCTTCCGAAGTAGGTCGGTGAGTGGACTAGCGATCGATGCGTAACCCTGAACGAAACGACGGTAGTAGTTCGCGAAACCGAGGAAGCTCTGCAACTCCTTGACTGAGGTCGGTGCTACCCAATCCTGTACTGCTGCGATCTTCTTCGGGTCAGTCCTAATGCCACTAGCGGATACGACGTGTCCTAGGAACTCGACCTCTGGAAGGAAGAACTCGCACTTCGACTGCTTAGCGTATAACTGCTCCCTCCGTAAGACCTCGAAGACCTTCTGCAAGTGCTGCACGTGCTCATCTTTCGTCTTAGAGAACACTAGGATGCCGTCTAGGTAAACGACAACGAACGACCCTAGGAACTCGGAGAGGACTGTGTTCATGAGCGTCTGAAACGTCGCTGGGGCGTTGGTCAATCCGAACGGTAGAACCCTAAACTCGTACAGCCCCTGCTTCGTACAAAACGCCGTCTTGTGCTGGTCCTCTGGAACTACTCGAATCTGGTGGTAACCCGAACGAAGGTCGATCTTTGAGAAGACTCTAGCGCCCTGCACTGCATCGAGAAGATCCTCTACTCTCGGCACCGGGAATCTATTCTTGACGGTGGCGGCGTTCAGTGCGCGGTAATCTATGCACATCCGTAACCCTCCGTCTTTCTTGGGTGCGAAAAGTATCGGTGCGGCCCAAGGCGATCTAGATGGCTGTATGAAACCCTGTGCGAGAAAGTGCCTAACTTGCTGCGTCATCTCCTCTGTCTCCGCTGGACTCAACCTCCACTGCGGCTTCGCTACTGGCCTGCTCCCTGGCTCCAATTCTATTCGATGGTCTACTGCTCGGCTGGGAGGCAACCCTGGGGGCAACTCGTCGGGGAAGACGTCTACGAACTCTGCTAACAGTGCACTCACCTCAGCAGGAAGAGTCGCCTTCTCACTAACTGCTGCACTCCCTCCTTTCCCCTCCTCAGCTTCCACCTCCTCAAGAAAAACCGCGAAGATCCGTGCCGCACGCTTCACTAACTGTCGCACACGAACAGCATTAATGATAGCTGTGGATGATGTGGCCCCATCGCTCCACTGTGGCAGCTCCCGGAACTCCCCGTCTACCTTGACGCTGCAGCTTCCCTGAGCCCAATCGAACTGAGTACTAACCGTCCGTAGCCAATCTCTCCCGAAGATAAAATCGTATCCGTCCAGCGTCGCAGAGTCGAAATCACGCCTGACTGTGATCGGTCCTAGCACTACGCGCAACTTGCGGATGATCGGTCCTATGTGAAGTGGCGTCCCATCTACCATGCGAGCGTCCTTGAAGTTGACTGCTGAATCTGCTTCGAGATGGAGACGAGAAACTAACGATGAAGAGACGAACGAGTGGCTAGCTCCGCTATCTACGAGAATCTTAACAGGAACTCCGCGAAGCTTCCCTAGAAGCACGACTGGACGATCAACAGTGTCTACCTCGTTCTCCGTAGATGACTGCTGCAAAGCCGTCTCCTCTACGTTGGTAGACGTGGCGGGTACGGGAACCTCCATACCAGCTAGCGACCCGCTATCTACTGGCGGTTTCCGTTTCCCTGCTGCCGCTCCTTAAGCTGTGGGCAGTCTCGCTTCATGTGTCCCGGCTTTTTGCAGTAGTGACAGTTCCCCCTAAATCCCATTTTCTGTGAGCCGTCACTGTTAACTGCACCAATCTCCATGGGCGATGGTCCGTCCCTCGATCGAGCGTCGTTGATCGGTCTGTTGTATCCCCTATCGCGATCGTCACGACCCCGTCGGCTTCGTACTGCGTCGACGCGTTCTGCTGCTGCGACTACCGACTCGAAGGTGGACAACCTGTGAATCGCAATGACTTCCGCTATGTCCGGCTTCAACCCTTCGAGGTAGCGATCGCGCATCTCTGCTTCCGTGATATCGTCTATCTCGTTGCAGATGCTCAAGAACCGTCGTGTGTACTCCTGGACGTTGCCTATCTGTCGGAAATGACGCAGACGCTTCCTAGCAGCTTCGGAGGCGTTCACCAAATCGAATCTACTTTTCAGCGCCGCTTCAAATCCTTCCCATGTGGTCGGAACCGTGGTAACACCCAAAGCTAAACTCCCTAAGCTCGAAGTTGCAGCTGCATGCCCCACGCCCTGTTGATGCCCGTCCGTCTGAGCCCTTCTTACAGCAGTTTGAGTGAGTTGGCGCCACCACTCCAAGGCCGGGCCCCTCAGCAGTGTAACAGCGTACTCGATCCGCTGCTGCGCGTCCGCCTCTTGCACCCCGCTCGCGGCGAAGTAGTTGTTCAGCATGAAGAGCCACGTCCGCACATTCGCGTCGCGTTGACTTGGGTCGAACGACTCGGGTTTCTGCGGCTTGAGTGCGCTTCGACGTTCCGGCAGCGCTTCCGCGCCAGTCGACGTGTTGGGCGCAAGAGTTGGTGTGGCATGACCATGGG